TTCTACTATTTCCTTCTGTGGTTCAGGTTTTCGTGTTTCCGTTTCCCTTGCGGTTGTTTTTAATGGTTGCCAATCCGAGAAGTTTTCCTCCGTATTTAAAATAGGGGGAGCACTGCTTGGACCTGCTTCAAGAGCTCTCTTACTTCTACTTCGTGTGTTAATTCCTTCTGTCAGGCTGGGTAACATGCTTTTTCTTCGCTGGTATATCGGTGGGCGATACTCTTGGTCGGAACTAGCAATGTCGTTGTCTTCCGAGGAAGACTCGACTTCACTGCTTTGTTCGGGTATCGTTTCGACTGATGGTGACACAGAAGATCGCAGGATTTTAGGTCTTCCTCTACCTCGTTTGGGACGTGACCCGGTGCCTGCTTCAGTTGTCTGGCTAATTTCCTGGTTTCTAGTAGAACTTTTCGTGAGGTCCTACGGTGTCTATGGATATTTTCTCGAAAGCATCTAGAGGAGTAGCCGTTATGACCATTGGTTCTCTTGTTTTTACTCTAACTAACTTCTGCTCTTGGCAACTCCTACAGGCTCTAACATACTCTTGGACATCGTGTTTCAATTCTGGCCAATAATACCGTTCGCGTATCCGTTTGTATGTTTTGGTTACGCCTTTGTGTCCTCCTACCAGGCTATCATGGTACTCCTGAATTATCTCCCTCCTCAGCTCTTCCTGCTGCGTTTGATGTTACCAGAACCAGTCAGTGGAGCTATATTGATCTCCTCGGCATCTGTGACCGGATTTCTTGAAAGAGCGTCGGCATTTAGGTTTGTTTTACCGGTTTTGTACACCACCTGATAGTTGTATTCCGCGAGCTTCATTCTCCATCGCATCAGTCCCGGCGCGGTTCCGGTTCATTGTTACTCGAGCTTATCTTATCTGGGAGCACCTGTTTGTATCGCTGCTCTGCTGTGTTTTTGGCTCGAACCTGGGGTGTTGACCGTGCCTTTGGTGGGAAGTTCGGAAGTGGTGTCGGTAGGTGAGACTTATGTGAACACGTCTCGTTATCCGGTCTGGTTGTATTTCCTTCATCTTCCGAGCTCTTGTCAGAGACTATTCCCAATTTCGTCAAACTTTCCCTAGCCTGGATGTTGGGTCTTTCACAGAGTGTAACCATACTAGTGGTCGGTGGTCTGTTATTAACGTAAATTCTCGTCCGGAACACGTCTCGTTATCCGGTCT